CCCCCCCCCCCCCCCCCCCAAGTCTCGGTGATCATGGAAGTCACAATCCCCAGGGCTTGAGGGCTGCACACCTGCAATTGGGAGCCCTGTCAGCTGTCAGGGCTCCCAGACGGAGGGGAGACCATGGCTAAAGGTGCAAACGAAAGCTGAACAGCAATCAGCAATAAAGCTAGCAGACATTTTCAAGGTCTAACTTTTTAGCTGGTTGCAGCTTTTTATTGTGTGATAGCTATTTTGCAGGTATAGCTGGCCTGACGGTAACTGCACAATTAACCAGTTAATTGTGCAATACCTGTAACATGTGGAGGGAGCCTAACAAACATAAAACAGTTTAGTTGTGGAGCGAAATAATGCTCATCACAAAGTCTGGTAAAATCAAATCACTATAACTGTTCCATAATGAAACTCTTCAGCTGTTGTAACACTGATATCCGATGTTCTACTTTTTAACTGAAGAGCTCAGTATGTAGACAAGAAACCAAATTTGTAATAGGGACGTCTATAGTCAAACTGTGTCTTAGAAACAGACCAGAGAGGTGGGGCAGACTCGTACAGAATTTCTCTGAGGACAGAAATTAGGCATAAACCACTTTAAGTGATTGGAAACTGGTTCAAACCTGTAACACAACAGAACTTCAGTGCACATCACTGCTTTCAAAATGGCTGAAACTGGTTTAAGATAAACCTGGATGGATGTAGTATCAGATTTAACTGATTTTGGTTAAATCAGTTTAACTTCTGTCCCAGATCCCCTGCCCTCGAATTAACTCACAGTCCCCCACAATCCCAGGATGCTTTGCAGCTGCCCCACAATTCCCACCCCATTGCAGGGTGGGCAAGCTAGCCTTGGCCTAACCTGTCTGCTTCAGCCAAGCCGGGAGACATCTGTTTTCCCCTGGCTTCTGGCCTGGGCCACTGCAGGCATTTGGCTGCATTTCCAGAATCAAAAGTGAACGTCTGCTTACTTGCTAACTGGTTCAATCTACACAGTTTAGAGTAATCTCTTGAAGACTGAATTGATTCAGCCTCAGGCTTTTTGACTGTCTGTACTTAGCCCAGAAGTCTTCTGTTCTGAAGAGGACTGAATTTAGGCCCTGATATTTCTGGGCTTGATACAGAATTTGAGGTGAACCTGCTCGTTCTCTCCTGATTTTTTAAATCAGGCACTAGGGCAGGGGGCGAGAATGATATCAATCTGAGCAGAAATGCATTTGTGTGTGAATCAAAGACTATTACAATTTGTGAAAGTTATGGCTACATTTATTCAAGATGGCTGCTATTACTACCACTGAAATGCTGCACTTGGATAGGATGGTAACATGATCCTGTAATACACACCAGATGTAAAACTGGAACTGCAACACTTAAAGAAGATGGAGGCTTGCACCATCTTTTGGAGAGAAAAGATGTGTAGACTGAAAACATCCTGAACTGTGTTCTACTCTCAGGTTACCCCTTGAGTTTCAGCAAGGTAGCAGCCAAACAAATGAGGTTAAGTGGTAATTTGTCTACATACAGTAGGACAGAGTTTGCAGAAATTTAGAAAAGTCACCTCCTTAGCACAGCAAAGCCCCTATGACAAGCAGTCACACCACCAGTCACCTTTTCAATTCATGAAGCAATAATTTTCCATTATGAAACCTGAACTGCAGTTAATATAATACTTATAATGGCATATGCCAAGGTCCAGAACATAAGCCTTTGCATCTTACTGTATCACATAACCACAATCCTCATGCTGCACGGACTCTTTTTATCTGACCTAGGGAGCCAGGGCAGTGTGGTTAATGGCTGGACCGGAGAGATAAGATGCTTGATACCCGAGCTCTCAGTTCTACATGCAAGTTGATGTTGCAGCTTTGCTTCAGCTTTAGTTTCTTTAGGATCAGATACTGTTATTTTCCTGTTACTCACACAGGTAGAACCATATTCTATGAATAGTTCATATAAATGCCCACACTGCAGGAATCCACAGGAAGGAAGGCAAAATTTTCCTGAATGGGCTAGGTACACTGAACAAAACAGAAGGAAGGGAGGAAAAGCATACAAATATGCACAGTGCCCACCACAGCAACCGTTGTTTTATTTAAAGGCCGTCTACAAGAAAACCAATTACACCTTTCTGTATTTCGAAACAACAGACAGTTCTTGTACCTACATCATGTGATGGAGGTAAATAAATCTCGTCAGCAGGCATCATACAAAAGACTCACAGAATTAACAGAAGAAGAAAGCAAAAGTTGTTTACCTCCATCCTGGGAGTTCATGATATTGAGAGCAAACAGCATTGCGTTGGAGAATGTGGTAGCTTCTTCTTTGCTTGCGAAGTTCAAGCCATATACCTGCCGTGCATCACGCCATTGGTGAAAGGTGGGTGTTGCTTGATTGTATTTCAATCCTTTCACAATTGAATAATTAATCACTACCTGCAATTTGAGACAGAGATGAGGGCTAAAATATTGTATATTTATAACTGGGAAGAAAAAGGATTGGTTATGCCTGTAAGGGCCAGAACAAGGTGAGTGTGAATTTTGCTATCAGGAGATGCCAATCTGTGGACGAGATTGGAATTGTCAGAGCTGAAAAATCTGTTACCTGCTTGTGTCTCCCTAAACACTTCTACCATACAGCTGTGCACATAGTACAGACAGGTGTTTGGCTTGGGGCCAGCAAGCGCTGGCATCTTTTGGGGGATGGATCATCCACAGCTGTTAGGAAAAGAGAAAGATTTCTTTTATTGGCCCAAGTCCTTCTCTACAGCAGACTAAATGTTTGAGCCAACGCCACAGTAGCTGGGAGATTGTTTTGCAAGTCAAAGGCAGCATGACTGGAGATGGCAAGATAGGAGTGAGAAACAATGAAAGGAGAAGAAAGTAGAGTAGTTTTGGTATCCCATAAAAAAGCAGAAGAGACTAAGGAGAAATGATACAAGGGTAAGCACTGTACAGGTGTAGATCAGACTACCTGCACCTTCCATGGCCCAATTCACTATTTATCATTAAATATGACGATTTGTGCCTGTCACTCAACTGCAGGAAGGAATTATGTAGGAAAGCCACCCTTTTAAAAGTCTGCCCCTCAAGAGCTGAAACTCATCATAGATCAGTGGCTGTCAGACAAGGTTTTTCTGGGAATAACTCATTGCTTTGATCTCCCTGGAGACAGGATTGGGGCAAAACTGCTCTAGCTGCAGGACCTAAAAATGAGACACTATGGGGATTTTAAGTTCTTCTCCAGCTGTATCTGATGCAGAAGACATGATATATTGGATCTCCAGCAGCCCCATACCCCGCTAATTTACCACTTCTGCATGTAAAACTAAAGAGTGAAACAGGAATAGAAAAGCCTTTCCTAAAACCTTCCTCCCAAATTGACACCACAACGAAAATTCACTTCTACCTTAAATATGGCATAAAAGACCAAAGCTGTACAAGAATTAGCTTGGTGTTATAGGAGTGCAACTCTAAACATCCATAGTAGAGTGTTAATAGAAGCTAATAACAATACAGTTCTATAGCAATAGGAACAGTTATGTTAATGTTAGGTGTGAGATTATTTTTGCAATGATGTTAAAACCTTACATTTAGTTAAATATAATTAATTATCTAAGTAATCAGTTTTCAATAAAATTATTCTCAACTCATAGTGAGAAAAAAAGTTATTTTAAATAATAATAATAATTCCACATACAGATGAGTCATAACTGTTATGGTTGACATTTCTGTATGATAGAATAATTTACATTTGGCTGAAAAACATTAGATGAGTTACTAATGCATGTATGAAGTACTTGCTTTTCACATATTTCTGTTACCTTTTTCGGATGACATAGTCCTGCCAAAATAGCTAGTAAATGTCTAATAATTTTAGATATAAAGAAAAAAAACTGAGCAAAACTTAGTATGTCAGTTGGTAATTAATGACACAATCGCTATTCCTTTAATGCTTCACAGTCCAGTCATTCAAATCAACATCAAATTGCAATTTCCTTGGTAGCTGCATAAATGTCCCATATAGCTGGTGCTTACTGAGTGACTCAAGAGCCAATACAAATCTATTATCAACATTAACTTATTTTAATTACCAATCCGATGTCACATTACTTCTTCACCAGTACAGCTCTGCAGAAATTCCCAATTCCCAATGGTGTGAAATCAGAAATAGGTTCTATATCTACTTTAGGTGGTACTTTAAATCAGTGATTCTCAACTAGGGTGTCATGGCACACTGGTGTGCCTCAAGATCCTTTCAAGGGTGCCATGGGGTGCCATGTAAGGTTAGCACTCTTTGGTATACAAACATAATTCACAAGATAAACCCAGAGATTTCAAATAGGAATCCAATGCACTGATAATATTTTGACCTGCTGTGGTCTTTCTTGAGTTTTCTGCAGCAGAAGAATTGCCCTATATGTCTGTAGTTGAAAAATGAGTAAAAACTAAGAGCTGGCATTTTCCAAGGGGTGTTCTGAGACTATCAAGGGGTGCCTTGAGTCTTAAAAGTTTGAGAAACACTGATCTAGACAAGAAACTCTAGGTGGCTATTTTTGTTTAAACTTTCATCATTTTTCTTAGTGCAAATGATACTTTGACTGGCTACAGAGCTGCAGAAAGAGCAAATTCAGAGCTGTTATAGTAAGGCAGGGCTGTCCAACTGGCAGCCCGCAGGCTGAAGGGTTAAGCTGCAACCTCCAGAATTCCCACCCAGCCACTACTCCCAGTATTGCTCCAGCTACAGCCAGGGTCTCCCTCTGCTTCCGTCTTCCCCTTCCCTGTAGTGGTGGAGCTTAGCTGAGGCAGAAGCCTGGAGGCATGGTGCAGCAGGCAGGGGCACCTGGGTGTACAGTGTAGTGGGGCAGTGGCAGGTATGTCCACATGCACAGTGCAGTAGGAGGGCACTGGGATGTGTGGGGAAGAGAGTGCTACCGGGGGAAAGCCCCATGCAATAGAGCCAGTGGCCTGGCTCCACTCCCTGCCACCACATGTAGCTCATGGGACTCCACTGGGAAGCAGGGGGCAGCGCTCCCCACCTTTTCCGGGGGAGTCCCAGAGCTGCATGCGGCAGCCGGGAGCGGGGCTTCCTCATAGAGGCCCATGAGTCCTGGGAGCTGCACAAGAGCCCCATACAATAGAGATGGGCTGGCCTGGCTCCACTCCTTGCTGCCACATGCAGCTTCCGAAACTGGCTGAAGCCACTTGCTGCTGGGTGTCTCTCCCTACATGGGCCGTGAGCACCCCGAGGGCTTGCTGCTGGTGCTGCCAGTGGCAGGGGAGCTATGAGGAGGGGGTTCCCACACCCTGCCCACTCAGGCTTCGTGCTCCCGCTTGCCCCAGCCCCATGCTCCCGCCCAGCTGAAGCTTCCCTACCTGCTGCCTGGAGTGAGCACTGCAGCAGGGACATGAGGAGGAGCCGCTGGAGGCTGGGGAAGCTGAGCAGGTCCCCTGACGGTGGCAGCATTGCAACCAGCTGTGCATGCTGGCTGGGGCCCTCCCGTGCATGAAGGTGGGAATGAAGTGAATGGGCTGGCCAAGGTACAATTAATTGACAGGCACCTGCAGGCCGGATGAAATCACGGGGTGGGCTGGATTCAGCCCGTAGGCCATATTTTGCCTGCCTCTGTCCCAAGGAGTCAGGCCCTCTCCTGCCAACCAAAATCCACAGCCCCAAATTACCTTAGTGCTGTCCATAATATGTGGGGAGAGATGGGGTTCAAAAGACCCAGCAGACTGGGCAGGAAATCACCTGAGCTAGTAGAAAATGCTGAAGTAGTACAAACTCACCAGGGGGTACCAGTAGGAATTGGGGGAAACTCTGTTCCCCCAGCCACCACCGGGGGTTACTAGGAATAATGGTCACAAATTGTTAGAGAGAAAGCTCAGGCTGGACATCAGGAGACATTATTTTACAGTTAGGGCTGCCAGGCTCTGGAGTGGACTCCCAAGAGAGGTAGTGCTTTCTCCTACCTTAGGGGTCTTCAAGAGGAGGCCGGACAGAGATTTGGCTGGGGTGATATGGCCCCGGCACCATTCCTGCCCAGGGCAGGGGGTCGGACCTGATGATCTGTTTAGGTCCCTTCCAACCCTAAGCACTATGAAACCCTTCACTGGTGAGTAGCATCCCATTCTTCAGCATATAAGCAAACCCATCCTCACAAACCAATGCTGATGCTACTTCCTTTATATCTACTAGCATGCATCTGGGACATAAGAGTTTCAATTCCCCCCTTTGTCACAAGATACTTGAACTTGGAGCTCCCACAACTGAGAAGTGTGCACTAACTGCCAGACTATGAGTGCAGCTTTCTGTCCTTCCTGCTGAAACCACTGTGTCGAGAATAATGAAACAGTCCTTGGAACAGGGACTGAAGCCAGATCATACCCTTTCATGCAAGTGCCCTCACTGCTATGTTAGAGAGGGACTCTTTCGCTCTGGCTCATCTTGCTATATGTAAGGAAACAGTTCATAGAAGAGAACAAACTCCCCAACTGTCTATAGCCTGGTGGTCATGAGACTCTCCTGGGAAGTTGGAGATGTGAGGTTCCTGTCCACTCAGACAAAGGACGGAACTGACCTACCGTTTTCCACATCTGGGAGGAGGTTCTCCAACCACTGGACAATTGGTGAAGGGGGCAGGGGCAGGGGAGGCACAACCAACTCCACCTCCACCTGTGTTCTGTGCGAGGCCTGACTTGGTAGGCACACTCAGATCATGCCTAATGAATTACATCCTGCAGTGACAGGCAGAGGAATGTTGTCTGTGAATTCTGAAAGGGCTCGGGCACTGTTTTGTTCAGCACCATCAAGATTTACACAGTTCTGGGCATGCTCAGACTCCTGTGCCCAGAAGCAAGTATTTAAGTATTAGGATCTGAATGCCCTAGGCTCTTTTCAGTGGGAATGTATTTGCAAAGTCCCACCTAAATGTTTATGTGCATGTGAAGTCTGAGGCACTTTACAGCAGTTCTGTGTGTTCCAGTGCTTAAGTGGGGACAGACCTAGACACTGGAAGACAAAGCTACTGTTCATGCTTAGTTTATCCACTATGCCTGAGGCTGTTCGAGGTTCACAAACCAGTTTTCCCTGTGCATAAGCACTTTGAAGAGCCTAATCTATTCAGAGTATTCTGACTACATCTAACAGAAGAGGAGTAGCAGAAGGACAAGGAAGACATGATGACTCACTTTCCTTTTGCCCAACAATCTTGTGCAGTGGTTCTCAATTGGGTGCCACAAGAACCTACCGGGGGTGTTACAATGCTGACACTGCTGCTGCAGAGTGAAACTGCCCGGCATGCCTTGCGTTTCAGGAGGCACGTTGCAGCTGAACTGAGACGTGGCTGCAGCAGAAAGGTAGAGATTGCCCTGTGTGCTTGGTTTTCAGGAAGCCCATTGGAGCCGAGCCAGGAACAGCTGCAGCAGAAGCAGTG